GAATATCCAAGAAGCAGAGCCAGCGGCAGTAGAGAAAGCCGATAGAGGACTTCACCAGAGATACTGCAAGTTCACATCTTAGATTTTCAGTTTCTTTTTCAAATTAGAATATTAGTTCCTAATAAATAAAGGGGAAAATGTGCAGACCCATTTCCCCATGAAGAGTTGAGCTGTTCCAGTCTCCTATTGTCAACTATCTAGAAAGATGCCAGGCCCTTTATACTTCTGTAATGAAAGTATAAAATTATATACTTTAATATACTGTATATCATTTTGAATGTATCGATCTATTTTGTGAAGGTTCTTTGCTTTCCAAGCACTGGACATACCATAGCATAGCAGATTTGTACACAGTGCTTTATTGCAGCACACACCTTCCCCAGCAGCAGGCTACAGCTCTGGGTTAACTCCACCCTTCTAGGCCATGCAAGTTGCTGTTACCACATAAATACATCTTTCATACTCAGTCCTTCATACTCAGTCCAAGCAAAAGTCCCAAAGTCTGTAAAGTGACATACAACCTTTGCCTCCTTCCAAAACATCTTGTACTAGATGGGATGAGGTGCTGCTGAATCCTACTGTCCATGTCCTGTGCAGAGTCCCAGAGGAAAAGCACGTATCAAGCCTTCAGGTGGCAGAGTTCCTTCCAGAGTGAACCCTATCTACTTCCTTTAATTCAACAAGGTCAAAAGAATTGTAATAGATTGTAATATAAAATGCCATTTTGCTCCCTATACTTGGCTCTGCCCAAATGGCATCCAAACCAGAACAAACATGAGTGATTTTATCTTCAAGAAAGCCCATAAAATCTTCTGGATAGCTAGGTCAGTTCACCCTGAGCAGGGCTGCCAGTATACAATCAGCAGATACTTGGACATTCTCATTGCTACTGAGTAGATGTTAGCTCATACTAATCTTCCACCTAAAGTGTGACTCATATACCCCTTACATGTGGCTCCTAACTCTTCTATTTTAGACCATTAGTGCCACAAATGTCTAGCAACAAAATGTGACTTAATGTAACCAGTGTTAATTGAATTATGTTGATAAATCAGTGTTGTATTACTTCTTAACAGAGTATGGTCCTCAGGTTTGTAAAGTATGTACAAGCCACCAAAATATGATACCAGTATTTTTTATATGTGCATCTGTTTTCAGGAACTCGAAAGAGCTTGGAGGGAATATGACAAACTAGAATATGATGTAACAGTCACAAAGAACCACATGCAGGAGCAGCTGGAGCGGACAGGCGAGGTTCAGGTGCGACCAGAATGTCAGCTTGGTTCCATAGCTCAGTGTGGGTGTTTATGATCTGTATATTGGCTGCCCAGTACAAGTTCCTTGAATATTGTTATATTATAACAATATTCTATAATTGTGAACTATAAATGTCTTCATTTCTTTAGTTTGTAAACTTCCTGGTTTTTTATTTATACACACAGACACACACACACACACACATACATTAAAAGACTGAGAAGATACTAATTATGTAAATCGCAAACAGTGTTTTAGACTTACTGTCATGCCGCAAAGTACTGAACATAATAGACCATGTTGCAGAAAAGAGTAATAGAAAGAATGAGCATTTAAGCAGGCAGAGAAGATGCAGAGCATTGTTTTGGAAGTGGGTGAAAGGATTAATCAAGGAAGTTCTACCTGAGTGAATGGAATTAAAAATAAAAGGGATAGAATGAGATGAGATGAACCTGACATGAGGGAATTCTGGAAGGGATATTTTAGAGATTTGTGCAGGACTGATAGTACAGTAATATGTTGAAGAGTGGAATTGAAATTAATGCTATAAATATTAGCATTCAAAAAATTATGAAAAGGAAGTAATAAATGCTGTGAAAACATTGAAAAATGGTAAGGCTGAAATAATAATGAAATTGAAGAAATGTTAAAAATATGTATATGGATTGCTTCTAGAGTGGCTGTGTTGGAAAAAGACTGTTATTGTTCCTCTATACAAAGGGAAAGAGAATAAGAGTGAATGAAAAAGCTGTAGAGGAATTAGTTTATTAAGTGTTTGGCAAGAATACTCGATTGAAAGGGCACAAGTGGTAACAAAGAGTAAAATTTGGTAATTTCTAGAAATTGCTTTATGCTAGATAGGGAGTGCATAGACCTGATCTTTGCTTTTCATTGAGAAATATCTGAATTTGAGAAAGAATGCTTATTGTACATTCATTGATTTAGAAAAAACCTATGATAAAGTGAATAGGCTTGAATTATGGAATGTTTTGCACAAGAACGAAGATAAGGTTGATTGCTGAGTTTAACAGCAGTATGTGATGGAAGTAAAGCATGCATGAGAATAAATAGAATGTTTATTGAATAGTTCGGGACCGAGGAGGGATGTCTCCTTAGTTTAATGGCTAAATGAATAATGATTGTGGTGACACTAAGGCATATTGGTTGGGAATATAAGTGCACTTTTGTAAACAGACAATGCTGTCTTGCTGGCCGAGAACATGATGATTTGAGGCATATGTTGAACTACATGGTGCAGTGAGGACTATTGATTTATCTTTTTTTTTTCAGAGATCAAAACAGTTGTGTTTCATAAGGGAAATGGCAGAATGATTGCAAGTTATATATAAACGGTGAAAAACTAGAGCAAGTAGATTAATTTGTGTATCTTGGTGAATATTTACTAAGGACAGGGAATTTTTACACAATGTGTATTCAGTTTCTGACCACTAGGAGGCACCACGTGACATGTTTTGTCCTGATTGGAATTCTTCAGATGCAGGTAGCTAGATGTTTGCACTTTAGATGTCTGTGTATAGTGCACTGGTTTTAGGAGTATCCAAGGTCCTGTGCTTAGCAGTTGCAGGTTGGTAAATCTAGAAGCACTGTCAGACACTTTTGCTTAAACTCTCAGAGAAGAGATATTCAGGTGCTGCATTATATCATGCCCCCCATTTATAGGGTTTTACATGACTTACATAACTACCAGGTAGCCAGTAGATGCAGGTAGGGGCAAAGGATTTGAACTCTATACAACAGTGTTTCTCAACCTTGGGAATTTTAAGACCTGTGGACTTCAACTCCCAGAATTCCCTAGCCAGCAAGGCTAGCTAAGGAGTTCTGGGAGTTGAAGTCCACAAGTCTTAAAGTTCCCAAGGTTGAGAAACATTGCTATAGTTGCCCACATCTGAATAATCCTAATAAGACAAAAGGACAAGAAGGCCTGGCGCAATATGGTTCATGGGGTCACAAAGAGTCAGACACGACTTAACAATTGAACAACAACAAATAAGACAAAACCAGTCAGGGGATGCCTCCTGGTGGTCATTGTAACTGAAAATACCACATAGAATATATACAACTAAAAGTAGAAAAATTCCACCACCACCACCCCTGCCACCAAGGTGGGTGTGGAAGTCCTGTAAAACTTTGTATGTAGCAGTACTAAGGATGGGGAAATGGATGGGGAAATTTTAGGAAGTACAAATGCTGGTAGAAAGGTAGCGAATAGTATACAATCTGTTGTGAGGAATGACTGGAAAAAAAGTGAAAATGGCTTTTATAAGAGCATCCTGCCCACTTTGTTATATGTCCAGAGAAACATAAAGGTTGAATGTAATGGGAAAGAGGTACTTGAGAAGTGTGTGTGATAGAACAAGAAGAGGTGTAGTCAAGAATGAATGGGTGCTGAATGAATGTAGACTGAATGCAAAACTGAGTGGTCAGTATGAAAGGTCGTTGAGGTGATTCAGTCATATTGAGAGAATAAAGTTCAAATTGCAAAACAACAAATGGAAGAAGAGAGAATGGATTGGCAGGAAGGGGAAGACTGGATGGAATTTATGAAATTCTGAATAAAGAGAGAATTGAAAAGTTTTAAATGTATGAAGCATTGTATAAACATGGTGGAAGGACCGATGGTTTGCAAGGTTAGAATGTTACAGAGAAATTTGGTGAATGGTATTGGTATATGATCTGTTTGGCTCCCACCCTGAAGATGATCTGGAAGTCTTTAAAAACTTGGGTGTTCTCCCAAGCCTTGGGGTAGAATGGCTGTTGAACTGGTCAGTTGTATTTTATGTTATAGTGAGCATGTTTGTCCAGGCTCATGGGATTTTCTTTGATTGTTTCCTGATTTTTAATGTAAGCCACCCAGAGTCATTCTGGAGTCAAATCTCATAAATAAACTAACTAAATGTAGCTATAATTCTTTTTCTTAACTCATATCTTTAATTTCTTTGGCTTACTATTTTTTACTGCACTTTGAATAATATTGCTTCTCCTAAAAGGAAGTAAGTAAATAACCAAATGCACAAGCAATTATCTACTACCAATAAAACATTTTTTTAGAAGAAGAAAAATAGATCCAGCTGGGTAGGGCCTGAGGGCCACAGAATGCCCTTGTCAACTCTCAGGTACTAAGGCTGGACCTGTTTGTTTCTCTTCATCTCTCTGGCTCTTTGGTTAGTTATTCAGAGTCCCACTAGACAGCGGAGCTCTGGACCTTTTGACCTAAGTTGCATCACTACTATTGCCTTTGCTGTGCACATCTTGCACAGTGTGCACAATTTCAGCTAGACAGAACTTGATATCTATAATGGTATGTGGGAATGACCTTGGGAGACAGCAGGAAGAGGTGCTGCCTAGGGAACAATCAGATAAGAGGGGGCATAGCCTACAGCTGTATAACGGGCAGAGAAAGAAATTCAGAAAAGAACCTCCCTAACTTATCAGCCTGTAAAAGAAACAGAGGGAGATTTGTACTTTCAGGCTTGCAAGATTCTGTTAATGTAGCCTTACAACAAAGTAGAATTAGCTCATCTGGTTGTGTTTCCTATCTGTTCGACCAGGGGAGGCTGACAGTATCCCAAAATTACATGTGCTGACTATTGCAGCAGTAACTACCATGAGAGTTTGGTTATCTTGAGAGAGGCCAGCAAATAATCTTTGATCAGGTCCAAGAAAATATCAGGGGATTCAGAACAGAACAGAACCGGGTGCATCATACTAGTTGAAAGTAATCGGATGCATTAAAAGCATGGTGTCTCATTGCTAACTTTTACCTCTGGCAGAGTGAGTCAGCCGGGATACAGCGTGCTCAGATTCAGAAGGAGCTTTGGCGAATTCAGGATGTAATGGAAGGTTTGAGTAAACATAAGCAGCAAAGAAACAGCACCACGGAGGCAGGTAAATTAGCATATTGACTTCCTGTAGATCTCAGGGGCTAGTGGAGAAGCCTGTACGATGAATAAATGGCATACTTATTCTTGTTTGATTAAATGTAGTTTTACTTCACAAGACTGAAAAGGAAATAATGGGAACGTTAAATCACTGCAAATCTGTGTTACTACAACCATGGTTTTTAACCATTGTTTATGATAAGCTAAATGTTTTGCTTTGTTTTTAAATAGGTGTCATAGCATCAAAGGCCTTTTCACCGAAGTATAAAAATGAGGTATGTTTTTCTTTTTCAACTTTTTGGGGGACTCTATAGAGCTATTTAATTTCCAGTCTAAGCTCCTGTTTGTCCGTTTATGTGTATATTTCATATGTTTAAATAAGATAATTTGTAGGTGGGGTGCATATGAAGGCTAAGCACACAAATTACATTTATTCTATATGGTATGAAATTTATTCCTATCCATTATATCTTCCTAATTTTGATGTTCCCATTATTCAGACTCTTACCCAAAAAATTTGAATATTGATTTTTTTTTTTTGTCCCTCATCACACACACATTTCAGACAAAAAGAAATACAGGTAGTCTTCACTTAATGACCACAATAGGCACCAGAAAATTGGTTGTTAAGTGGGGTGGTCGCTAAGCGAGTCACCACGTGACTGGACCCAATTTTGCAACCATTTTTATGACAGTGGTTAAGCGAATCACCACTGTCATTAAGCGAATCACATGGTCATTAAGCAAATCCAGCTTCCCCAATTGACTTTTTTGCCAGAATTTGCTTAATGACCACATGATTCACTTAACTGCAGTGATTCGCTTAACGACCATTGTAAAAAAGGTTGCAAATCACATGAGTGTGGGGGATGGTGTGACAGTTGTAAGTGCAAGTACAGGTCGTAAATAACTTTTTCCAAGGCCGTCGTAACTTTGAATCATCATTAAACAGTCATTAAGTGAGGACTACCGTATTGTTTTGCTTGTGTGTGTGTGTGGGCCTACAGCCTCATATCTTTATGAGCTGAGCACCCAAAACACCAGTTTAATAAAATGTTTGAAGCAGAATGTGATTGGTATCTCTGGTATCAGTGGAATATCAGGACACAGTTGCTTTAAAAGGACATTTAAAACTACATGTGGTATCAAAGTATGAAAAGAATTGGACAGATTTTTTATTTGGGAAAGCTATTTAATTTTTTCATGAAACTTGGTGAATAAAGAAATATTATAAAATTGATAGAAGGATACATCAATGCATAAAATGCAGCAAAAAATTGTAAAGAAGTTCATAGGAGAGGAAACAAATCATTCTTTATGAAAAGAGCTATCTTTGTCATAAGTAAAGTACTTTTATTTGCTTGAGGGTGGTATATTTTTAGATGGTGGCCAGTATATACAAATGGAAAGAAAGCAAATGTGTAAACCTTTGTGTACGTAAGTGACGTAATAGAGATTTTCAGTCTGTCCCTCTTGCTACAGCAGCGTCCCTGTAATTCCAAACTGTGTTACAACTGCTGTGAAATATTTGAAAGAAGTTATAACTCTTGTGATAGATGAGCACATCTAAATCAGGTGACTGTTCTGCAATCTTTAGGAAGAGGAAGTAGTCCCACCTCGTCCTCCACTCCCTCGGTCCTATGACTTTGCAGAGCATCTTCCCATAATCCCCCCTCTGCCCAGTGATAGCAGCTCCTTGCTCTGTTATAGCAGGGGCCCAGTACATCTGCCTGAAGAGAGGAAGATTCATCAAGTTCAAGGATACCAAAGAAATGGAGCTCACTGTGTAAGTGGCCACAATTGCCACATTGTCCATCAGGCATTACCCTTCCTATTTTCCCTCCTGCACAACTGTCATTTTATTTTACTGACATTCCACTATTTTTTGTTGCATTCCCTTTCTCAGCTTCATCTTTTTGTTTTTGTGTGCATTTTTTAAAAAAAAATTAGGTACATTATTAGTGTTTGCCATTTCTGGTTTTGTTTTGGTTTTTTTAAAACGTTTTATGAATATAAATGTCTCCAGTGACTCAGATTGATTGCATATTGTTAGATTCAAACAAGATATGAGTGTCATTTAACACTGGTTACGTGGTTAGAACAAGATTTTTGCTATGTACTGTTGAGTATAAGTTTTTAAGCGTGCCATACCATTTTTATCAAATTTATTCAGAGCCAGTCATACAGATGGTGTTTTCCAAAGTTAAAAAATGAAATCATTACCAAAAAATCCCTGCCAGAGGGAGTATACAATTTACATTTGAACAGAAAGGAAATTGGAGAGGGAACACTGTTTTTTAGACTTTTAAACAATAAGGCAAGAAAAAAGAAAAGGACTCTTTATGGCTCAAAAATGAAAAGGAGAAATATTTAGGAGTTATTCCATATGAAATTAGAACAGTCTGACTTTTTCTGAACTGGGGCTTCAGATTTTGGTACCAATTTTGCCATACGTGGCAGGAAACCCCTTTGTGGGAGGAGAATGAATGTATGCTGTGCTCTGGCTCATTTCTAGGGTCCTGATTACCGGCTTTATAAAAGTGAACCTGAACTGACGACTGTAGCAGAAGTTGATGAGTCGAACGGGGAAGAAAAGGCAGACCCAGTTTCGGAGTCAGAAGCTTCTATGTCTAAAGGTACTAATGAGACCCTTTGCTTTAAACTGTTCCATTTCTATCTACAGGGAGTATGGCAATCTGTAATCACCACGGGGGGAAATAGCTTTATTAATAGGATAACATTTTCTTATAAAATGAGTATGTAAAATTTAATTTAATTACATGACTGGAAGGCATTCAATCAGGCATAACTCAAGCAACAGGGGAAAAAATAAAGATGATACTAGAAATCAAACCTGAAATATGTATTTAGATACAGAATAAATATAGATTTCAGGTTTGACTTCTAGTATTACAGTATTATCACAGCTCCCATGTTGTGCATGCAACACTCTTCCAACAACTGTTCATTTCCCATTCTTAGTTCTTCTTCATCCAGCTCTCAGCACTGTTTTACTGGACTTCCCTTGAAACCAGTATTACAGAATTCCAGATTTGTCACTAGACCAAAAAAAAAAAAAAAATCATAAAAAAACCCTTTTATTGTAATTGCCAAATGGTCTTCTGTGTTGTAGACACATAGAACTTACCCTAGAGTTTTTACTGCTACATATTTTAACCTTTCTCCCTACCTCTGCCACTAAACATTTTTGC